GGGGGTTGAGTTGCCAAGGTCACAGGCAGTGAGGAGCAGAGGTGGGATTGCAAGCCAAGTTCTCTGCCTCCAAATCCAGTCCTCCTTCCATCATCCCTTGCTGCCCTCCCTTTTCACACACATACTTTATTTTATTTTATTTTTTGCTGGGCAGTGGGGTTAAGTGACTTTCCCAGGGTCACATGGCTAGTGAATGTTGTGTGTCTGAGGCTGGATTTGAAGTCGGGTCCTCCTGACTCCAGGGCCGGTGCTCTATCCGCTGCACCACCTAGCTGCCCCTCACACACATATCGAGTAAGTATTGACACTATTCTAGATATTTTGGGGTTACAAAAGATAGAGGAGCTCTCCTCATCAAAGAGCTTCTATCTGAATGGGCAGACAAGAAAGGGATAGTGTGATTTCATGGGTGTAGAAACTCCCAGGCAAGAAAACTCCCTCTACCGATGTACGTAAACAACTTCTCTTCAATTCATAGTCAAAGCAGGGGCTCTTAACCTAGGGGCTAAGAGCTTGGTTTTTGTTTTTTAATAGTTTGATAAGTGTATTTCAGTGTAATTAATTTCCTTTGTAATCCCACTTAAAAGAGTATTTCTGAGAAGGCTGCCATAGACTTTATCAAACTACCACAGGGGTCTTGGACATAACAAAGATTAAGAACCCTAGTCTAGGGACAGCTAGGTGGCACAGTGGGTAGAGCACCGCCCCTGGAGTTAGCAGGACCTGAATTCAAATCCAGCCTCAGACACTTACTAGCTATATGAACCCTGGGCAAGTTAAAAAAAAAAAACAACAACCTATTCTTAGAGTCGCCTAGAACACTGAGAGATTAAGGGACTTGCATAGGGTCATATAGCCCATATGTGGCAGAGGTGAAACTTGAACCCAGGTCCTCTTGGCTCTAAGGCTAACATTCTATCCACTAAAGCCACATATATACATAAAACTTAAGCCAGACTATGGTGTGCCACCCTTTACCAATAAATGTGACACAAGTGTATCATTTCAGTGTGATGTGCAATCAGAGGTATTTTTTCTAGTGTTGATAGTGAGTTTGCGCTTCATCTTTACTATTACTGACCCATTTCCCTCATGACAAGGGTATATGAGCCTTCACCTTTCTCCTAAGCGCCGCTCCTCAATCACCAGCGCCCTACTGGAGGTTTTCAACTTTGCAGGCTTATTTCCCAATATTCCCTCTCCCATAGTCACTGCTCCAGGTAAAATGTCCTAAATTGTTTGTTCCCCAGGTGTGGTATTCCATCTTCTACCTCCTAACCTTTGAACAGGCTGTCTGTCCCAGGTCTGGAATGTTCTTCCTTCTGTCCTCTGCCTCTTTGCACCCTTACATCTGCTCAAGGCTCAGTTCAAGGAAGCCCTTCCTGATCCCTCGAGTTGTCAGTAATTCCCTTCCACTCACAAATGCTTTGTATCTCTACTTACACATTCTCTGTGGGTGTCCTTCTGTGTGTCTCTTTCTGTCTCTCCCTCCCCCTCTCTCTTCTTTTTCTCTCTTACCTCCTCCACTCTCTCCCTGTCTCCCCTTTCCTCTCTCTCCTCTCTCCTCTCTCTCTCCTCTCCCCCCTCTCTTCTTTTTTCTCTCCCTGTCTTCCCCCTCCCTCCTCTCCCCTTTCTCCTCTCTCTTTCTCCTCCCTCTCCCCCCTCTGTCCCCTCTTCCCTCTCTCCCTCTCCCTCTTTACCTCTCTCCTTCCCTCTTCCTCTCCCTTTCTCCTCTCTCCCCTCTCTCCCCACCTTTCCCCTCTCTCCTCTTTCTTCTCTCCTCTCTCTCTCCTCCTCCCCACCCCCTTCTCTCCTTAGCTGTGTTTCTGTTGACCTTCCTCCTATCCCACGGAGCCTCCTTGATGGCAGGACAGTCTATGGGTTTGTCACCCTGTCACCCGGCACACAGGAGCTGCTTAATACATGTTAATAAAATTGAATTCAGTGATGAGAGGATCAGTTGGGCTCCAATGTATGACTGACTGCCACAGAGCTGATGTTTTTCTTGTGAAATGAACTTCTCTGTGCTCAAGTATTGGGTGTATCTGCCATCTCCTGTCTGTCTGTGCTCCCTTCAGTGGTGCGGGTCCCACTCCATCCTGGCTTGCCCATCCTGGGCTCTTCCCTGTGTTCTCCTGTGCATCCCTACCTAAGGAGCCCATCCGACACCTTGAACTTTTTAAAAAAAATACTGCATAGGTGGTAATTGAGTGTATAAACTGCCCATCAGTTATTCTTCAGCATTGCTACAATAATTAAAAATAATAATATTTATATAACACTTTATGGCTTACAAAGTGTTTTACAATATTAACTCATTTTATCCCCATGACAACCCTGGGAGGTAGGTGCTATTATTATCCCATTTTTACAGATGAGGAAACTGAGGCAGCTAGCCTAAGATCATACAGTCAGTGTCAGAGGTCAGATTTGAGCTCACTCTGAGTCTAGCACCATCTACTGAGAGTTATCTAACTGTCCTACATTGCTGGCCTATCTTTTCTTATGTCTCTCTGAGACCATTCTTCACATGCTGTAAAAGCTGTTGTTATTTGCATCTTCAGATGAGGAAACTGAAGATCAAAAGCAGCCGATTCCCTTCCCTTATAATCTGTCATAGCTTGGCCACCTCCATGGCTTATGCTCAGTTTCCCTTCTTTGGAGACTGGAATTTCAGGACTTGCATCACATCTGTTAAATCTGAGACTTTGGATTCAACCCCATGTTTTAGCTGAGCTAGGAAAGAAAAGTTGGTCTAGGTGCCTCTGCAGAGAAATGGAATTCTAGTGTTTAGGGAAGATGCATCAACACTTATAGTTTTCCCATAATTCCATGGGAATGAGCACTTTTCAAAATCTTTCCCATGTTTGTGTTTTAATAATAATAATAATAATAATAATAATAATAAATAATAATAATAATAATAATAATAATAGCTAGTATCCATCTATGGTTTGCAAAGTCCTTTACATAGATTACCTTATGTGATTTCATCATAATAGAATGCAGCTGAAATATATTTGAAAACATTTTTCAGGTTTTTCTTGAAACATTTCTGTATATTGGCAGCCTTCAAGGGCCCTGGTAAACTTTAGTAGAGCCTGACTCTAACAAATCACTGTGAGATGTGGGAGGGTGAACCTCCATTTCCTTTTTTTAAATTTAAATAATTCATTTATTTTTAGTTTTCAACATTCACTTCCATAAGATTTTGAGTTTTAAATTCTCTTCCCCTCCCTTTCCTCCCCCCTCCCCAAGATGGCATGCAATCTGATGTAGACTCTACTTATACATTCATATTGAGATATTTTCACATTAGTCATGATGTATGGAAGAATTCAAACTAATGGGAGAAACCACAAGAAAGAAGAAAGAAAACAAAACAAAAGAAAAGGAGAGCAAATAGTCTGCTTCCATCTGCATTCAGACTCCATAGTTCTTTCTCTGGATGTGGATAGCATTTTCCATCATGAGTCTTTTGGAGATGTCTTAGATCCATGCATTGCTGAGAAGAGCTAAGTCTGTCAAAGCCAATCATCACGCAAGGTGGCTGTTACTGTGTACAGTGTTCTCCTGGTCTTGCTCTCTTCACTCAGTATCAGTTCACTCAGTATAAGCCTTTCCAAGTTTTTCTGAAATCTGCCTGCTCATCATTTCTTATAGCACAATAGTATTCCATTACATTCATATACCACAACTTGTTCAACCATTCCCCGGTTGATTGGCATCCCCTCAATTTCCGATTCTTTGTCACCACAAAAAGAGCTGCTGTAAATATTTTTGTACATCTGTGTCCTTTTCCCGTTTTTATGATCGCTTTGGGATACAGACCTAGAAGTGATATTGATGGGTCAAAGTGTCTTGCATACCTCACCTATTCCACTGATTCACCACTCTATTTCTTAGCCAATATCAAGTAGTTTTGATGATTGCTGCTTTATAATACAATTTAAGATCTGATACAGCTAGGCTACCTTCCCTTACATTTCTTCTCATTAGTTTCCTTGATATTCTGAACCTTTTGTTCTTCCAGATGAATTTTGTTATTGTTTTTCCTACCTCTATAAAATAATTGTTGGTACTGAATAAGTAAATTAATTTAGGTAGAATTGTCATTTTTATTATATTAGCTTGCCCTACCCATGAGCAACTGATATTTTTTCCAATTATTTAGATCTGACTTTATTTGTGAGAACAACATTTTGTAATTGTGTTCATGTGTTTCCTGGGTTTGTCTTGGCAGGTAGACTCCCAAATATTTTATACTGTTTACAATAACTTTAAATGGAATTTCTCTTTCTATCTCTTGCTGTTGGGCTTTATAAGTAATTTATAGGAATGTTGATTTATGTGGGTTTATTTTATATCCCGTAACTTTGCTAAATTTGTATATTATTTCAAGTATTTTTTTTACTTGATTCTCTAGGATTCTCTAAGTATACCATCATATTATCTGCAAGAGTGATAGCTTTGCTTCATCTTTGCCTATTCTAATATTTCAATTTCTTTTTCTTCTCTTATTGCTAAAGCTAACATTTCTAATGCAATGTTGAATAACAGGTGATAATGGACATCCTTGTTTCACCCTGATCTTGTTGGAAATGCTTCTAGCTTGTCCCCATTACATATAATGCTTGCTGACAGTTTTAGATAGATGCTACCTATCATTTTAAGGAAGACTTCATTTATTCCTATGCTCTCTCGTGTTTTTAATAGGAATGGGTATTGTATTTTGTCAAATCCTTTTTCTGCGTCTGTTGAGATAATTCTATGATTTCTTTTAGTTTTGTTGTTGATATGATCAGTTATGCTGATAGTTTTCCTAATACTGAACCAGCCCTGCATTTTTGGTATAAATCCTACCTGGTCATAGTGTATTATCCTTGAGATTAGTTACTGTAATCTCTTTGCTAATACTTTATTTAAAATGTTTTCATCTATATTCATTAGGGAAATTGGTATATAATTTTCTTTCTCTGTTTTGACTCTTCCTGGTTTAGGTAAAACCTCCATTTCAAAGTCCTTGACAATGAAAGACAAACTCTGAAAGGTCTCACCAAACTAGGAGGGCTTGGCTCACAGGCCAGACGTGGACCATGGATCTGCCATCTGAGGACCAGCTATGCTGAACACAGAAAGGCTAATCCATCCATCTGTCCAACCATCCAGCAAGCAATAAGCATTTATTAAGTGCCTACTATGTCCCAAGCATTGTTCTAGGTGCCAGGGATAGAAAGAAAAAAATGAAATGTTGTTGCTATAATTCTAGGCATTTTCTTAATTGTATACAAAATAAATACACAGTAAATTTTCGTGGGATAACACAAGAACTGAGAAAGAGGTCTGGGGAGGATAAAGGAAAGTTTCATGGAGAAGGTGGTACCTAAGCATAGAAAACATGGGATTCTTTTGGGAGGGAAGGAGAGAGAGAGAGAGGGAGAGGGAGAGGGAGAGGGAGGGAGAGAGGAGAGGGAGAGGGAGAGGGAGAGAGAGAGAGAGAGAGAGAGAGAGAGAGAGAGAGAGAGAGAGAGAGAGAGAGAGAGAGAGAGAGAGAGAGAGAGAGAAAGAGAGAGAAGGGAAGGGGAAGGAAGGGGAAGGGAAAGGAGAAGAGAGGGAGGCATGGGGAGAGGGAAGGAAAAACCTTTGTGATAAGAATGCATGTTCAAACAAAAGAAATTCCTGCACTGGTCACATCCAAAAAATATATATCCTCATTTTACACCCCAAGTCCATCATCTCTCTGTAGGAGGTAAGTTCTTTAGTCCTTCAAAGTTGTTTGTCTTTACAACATTGCAGTTGTATAAATTGTTCTTCTGATTCTGATCACTTCATTCTTCATCAGTTCATACGAGGCTTCCAAGAATTCTCTGAAATTGGCCTCTTCATCATTTTTATGGCACAATAATTTTTCCATTACCTTCATGTACCATAATTTGTTAAGCAGTTCCCTAACTTACGGCTGTCCCCTTAGTTTTCAGTTCTTTGCTACCACAAAAAGAAAGGGAAAAAAAAGTATCTACTAAGTGCCTGCTGTGTGCCTGGTACTGTGCTAAGCATTTAACAAATATCTCTTTTGATCCCTGGGAGATAAATGCCATTATTGTCCCCGTTTTGCAGTTGAAAAAAATGGAGGCAAATGGAAATTAAGTGGCTGGCATAGTTTCATATGGCCAGTGTCAGAGACCAGATTTGAACCAGGCCTCTCTAGACTCTGTATCCAGTGCTCTATCCACTAAGCTATCCACTAGGTGACAAGGAAAAAAAACTGTTGGTGAATGGTCTTAATTTTTCTGGTTATGTATAAGGCAAGGTCCTTAGCTGAAAGAGTGGGCACAAGGGGAGGAGTGGGAGGCTTGAAGAGGGAAGAGAATATTTGGAACAGCAACTGTGGTGGGTAGAAGGGAGAATTGATTAGGGAAGAGTAGAAAGATTGCCTTGCACAATGGGGGCTGGGTTTAGATTAAGTAACATAAATTAGATCACATTCCATTGTGCTTAGCATAGTCCCTAGCACTGGGTAAGTACTTAATAAATATTTATTCATTCATTCGTTCATAGTGAATTTGACTAGTATGGTTTTTTGAGTTAGTCTGCCTTTATTCATCAACTTGCGAGTCTCACTGGAGACATGAGGGGAAAGTAATCTAGGGCTGGGGTTTACCAAAGTGTGACTGGTGGTAGGACAAGGAAATTAAAGATTCAGGAGTCGAAAACAGCACAGAATGACCTGGTTCTTTAAAAGGCTGAAATTAGAAAAGGAGGATCAACTAGCCCAAATGGGGTGAGAGCCTGGGAATATCTGTAGGGGTGCACTGTGAGGACAAAGACTTGGACTGGAGTCATAAGGCGTGGGATGGAATGATAAAGATTAAAGTCAGAAAAGGATATTGTAGAGTTTTGGGGCATAGAAGTGGAACACTTGTGGGTGGTTGACAGAAAGGTCAAGGGTAGGGCTATTCCTGTGTGTATCTGAGGTGGGGTATAGGAGGAGTTCTGTGAAATTTAGTAGATCGAGGAATGGGGAAATTAGGGTGTCAGTACAAAATTTGAAGTTACTGTCCTGAGGGGAGGAGCTGGGCTAGAAAGGGTGCCTGTGAGACAAACCCTGAACTTACTGAGAAAGGAGAGAGAGTGCCTTTAGGCCTGGTAGATATTGACCGCCAGAATTAGAATTGGGTGAGAAATGAGGATGTTAATGAAATGCCAAGGAGTGTATGCTGAGGGATTCTAAGAGAGGGAGAATCTGAGAGTAGTAATAAGGAGCAAGGAGCATCCTGACCCCCAACCATGACCAGTGGATCAGGAAGTCTGAGCGAGAGTGAAACCAGTGCTGCTAAGGGGGGTCAGGGAGGCTGTGTCATCAGGATCTGCTGGAGCCAGCTCATATGGCCGTGAGAGCTGACTGTTAAATTTTAACGATTACACCTCAGTAGTGGCAAACACAAATCAGGGCTAGATTTATTGTTCTGCTGCTCATCTAGGAAAAAAAGAAAGTGAAAGAGAAAATATTAATAATATAGGTTAAACTTAAAAGTGTGTTATTAAGGCTGGTTAATCAACATTTATTTGCACACTTCTGGAGTCAGGTGTCAGTAAGAGCCAAAAAGATAGAGAAATAAAAAAAGAGGTTTGACACAATTCTCTTGAATCATATAGGTACAAAATGCCAGAAGAAATCTAGAAAGAATTACTAAGGATTATGAGGCGTTGGGGGCAGCTAGGTGGTGCAGTGAGTAGAGCATTGGGTCTGGAGTCAGGAGGACCTGAGTTTAAATCTGACCTCAGAAACTTCCTAGCTGTGTGGCCCTGGACAGTCACTTAACCCTGTCTACCTCAGTTTGCTTATCTGTAAAGTGAGCTGGAGAAGGAAATGGCAAACCATTCTAGTATCTTTGCAAAGAAAACCCCAGATGGAGTCACAAAGAGATGGGCATGACTGAAACAACTGAACAACAACTTGAAGTCTTGACAGCAAGCCAAAGATTTTAGGGGCATGGATGGTGTTTTCATCAATATCAGCCATCAAAGACAAGACCTTCAAAAGACAGAGGAAGATTTGGGATGTAAGCAGCTGGTGGAAGCAGATTTGGAGTGTAGGCAGAAGACGATGCTTGAGAACAGTTACTGCTGTGCTGGGAACTGTCCTAAGTGCTGGGGAGACAGAGAGAGTAAGACAGCCCCTGCCTTTGAGGAGCTCACAGTCTAATGGGGGAGATGATATACAGACTATTATGTACAAACAAGATATAGACAGGAATCAGTTGCCACCGAAGGTCAAACGACTTCCAGTGTCACACAAGTTTTAAGCTTCAAGTTTTAACAGCTTACAACTGCATTAAGACTTTTGGGACATCCTATACATTCCCTAGTACATTTTCTTCTCTAAATAAGAGAGATATATTCTCATAACCTTCACTGTTGGTCTACTGCAGTTCCCAGACCTTTCTCTTGGCCATCTGAAGTCTGTACAATTCCTGCTTTATCCGCTTTTCTCTGTGTTTGTAGAGGGATAGGGGTTTCCCCATGTGTATTTCCTTGTGTCTTATAAACTTCATCCTGCTTACCTATTTATCAAAATCACCACTTTCCTCCAGGCCAACCGTCTCCATGTCCTTCATCAGATTCTTGAATTTAATGTATTCTCCAGTCCATTCACCACTGTGATTGCAGTCTTCTGGAAAGGCTTCAGCTTATTATGTCTTCCTTAAAATGTGCTCAATAGACTAATCTCTTCAACAGTCTGGTCCTCTCTCGATGCGGTTGAAGCTTGCAGAGTACCCTTTTGGAGGGTGCCGGGTCACACAAACTGCTGACTTAGTGTTACCTAACATACCCCCTTCATCCAGTAATAGGGAAATTGATTTTTTGTACCCCAAGTGTAGGAACTTTACATTTATCTCCATTATATTTGATTGTATTCCATTCAGCTTATTATTCTAGCTTTCAATATATAGTTTTGCATCCTATAGTTTTCTATCCCTTCTACCCTGGCATCCTTCTCCCAATTTGATAAGCATGTCATCTGAGCCTTTACCCGAATCATTGATGAAGGAGTTAAACAGCATGAGGTCAAGGACAGTACCTTAGGACACTGCATTAGAGACCTCCCTCCAAGAAGACACTGATTCATTAATGACTTCTCTTTTGGTCCAAGCATTCAACATTTTCTGAGGCCATTGTACAATGTATACTATTTTCTATCCCATATGGCTCCTTCTTATCCGGAAGATGTCTTACTCAAGGTTACACAAGTAATAAGTGACACAGTTAGGATTTGCATCTTTTGACTCCAAAACCCATTATTTTTTCCACCTGGCTGTGGTCTAGTCAACAAGCAGGTCCCACCACCCTCTTTGCTCAAAGAAATGTATGTTCTAGGAAGTAGGGTCTTTGTGTGGCTCTCTGCAGAGTCCAAAGAGAATGCCCTATCTACTCCTGAAGTGACTAATTTATCTATCCCCAATTTAATCACCTGGGTAGCACCTGTACCATCTTCCTCACCTTCATCATCATCCTCAGGAGTCATGAGGTTAGTGACAGCTGCATCTTTGACAAGACCTGAGTCCTTCTCTCTTCTCAGACAAGCCTGTTCTTCAGACAATATGGTGGAAAGAGTGCCTGTTGACCCTGAGGTCAGAGGATGTGGTCTCAGATGCCCCTTCTGATGCTTACTTACTGCCTGTGTGATCTTGGGTAAGTCACTGAAGTTCCTCTGGATCTCAGTTTCATCATCTGTAAAAGGAGAGGACTGGCCTGGATGGTCCCTGCGTCCCACCTAGGATCCTATGGACACTGTAGGCCGGTTCCTCCCATCTCCTTAGAACAAGTAGAGGAAGTCATTTACCTGAGTTCACACAGAACGGTGTGTTGGAAGGGATCTCATAGATCATCCCCTTATTTTGCAGATCAAGAACCAGAGAGCCTGCTGCTGATTATACCTTAGGGGTGGTGGCAGCTGAGGGGCTACCTCTGCAGGGGAGCTGTCAAACCACGGGGGTACACCGACGAGATTCCAATAGACCTGTGATCTCAAGCATGTGGGCCCTTCTTCCAAAGATGCAGGTGACGGCTCACATCCTGCGCACTCCTGTGGACAGACAGGGTATTCGTGAGGGTCCCCCTGCCATGCTGAGGACCTGAAGACTTGCCATCACATGGATCCCAGTGGAGCACAGGGCTGGGGATCTCTCATCCTGTTCCATAGGCCTACAGAAGATCTAGGCCTGGAGGGGCCCTAGGAACTGTCTAGGGCCAACTAGATGGTGCCATAGTGCATAGAGTGCTTTGCCTGGAGTCAGGAAGACTCATCATC